AATGCTTAGACAGATCCGGTTTTTGTTTTTAGTTTTATAGAAAATAATTACCGTCAAGTTTATATTATTTATTTAAATTGGCATGTATATTGCATAATATAATGACTATTATCAAAAACTTCAGTTAAAATTCAAAGGAATCATTTACATATTTACAAAACTTGAATAGGTCATTAAAGAAGTAGATTTTATCTCAACAACGTTCCATTACTGAATAATGTTAGATTTTCTACAATATAATAATATATACATTGTAATATATTATATATATTATATTTTTGTTATCTAAGCCTATAGTGCTCTCAAAAGTACATGAAAATGAATTCAAACCACACAAAAAAGGTCAGCGATAAAAGTTTTGAGACGCCTTTCAATGGACAAAACACTATTTGTTAAGGACCACATTATTGTTTTGATATGATGTAAAAATAATAAAATAACAAAATTATTGAACGAAATCCCTTTTTACAACTTCCCAGCAGTTACTAAAATATCCATATTTTGCTAGTATGTGGGTTTTTGTTACGTTTTTCTACTATAACTCGGCATATACCGTAACGTACAATGTAGTTTTTATTTAATGTTGTAAAATTATATATATATATTTCACATACTACACTTTAATAGTCCTTAGGTAAAGTTAGGTTAGACTGTGTTTTGGATATAGATAAAAATGAGGAATTAAACTTTACAATACCTAATAATATGATTCATTTCATTTTTGTATATATTTCGGTTATGGTCTGGTTTCTATCGAGTTAGTGCTGTCTCGTGTTAATTGTATACAGAATGATACATCAAGCATGTTAACCTCATTTTTTTTAAAAAAAGTTCTAAAAATCAGATATTGAATCTAATAAAATAAATACTCATAACCATTTCTATGTACATATATTATCTACCATTATATTATAAAAATACAATTGTTAATTATTATACTGTAACGAGTTAAAAATTATAGTGTAATATCAATTCATATAATAAAATATATTGTATATCACAATATATTATAGTATACAGTTAAAACGAACTAAATTCAAATTCAAAAGTGGTACAAATACAATTATAAACAAGTTGATGTTTAGTTATATATTATATTTCTTAGTTTTTATAAACTATAATGACTACGATCAATTATAAAAGTATGTTTTATAATATTCGTTATGTATTATACGTTCATCAAAGTTGTACTATAGTATTCAACGTATACCTAGGGTCGCTTACAAAAAATTATAATGTAATATAACTTCAAATCCATGTTTTGTAATATTTGTACAATAAATATACAGAATAAATTGAATATTTTTACTCGATTTTATGTATGTCAGATTACATAAAAATTTGCTATAGCAAAGTTTTTTTTTTCTGAGAGTCATATTATCTAAAACTAATGTTCATGATTAAATTACTGATAAGCCACTACAAAATAGTTAATTTCGATTAGTATTATTCTGATAACATAAGAAACGTTTATAATTTGTATATAGTGGAAAAATTCAAAAGTTGTATGTAGTACTTATGTGTTCTAATGATCAAAAGTCGAATACAAGTAGAAAATTTTAAATTTTTATTACTTTTTCTAGACTAAAATTAAACACTTCCTATAATCAATGATATAAATATGTGGTTTCACAAATATAAATATCACTGTTCACATTTGGATTTCGTGTAAATTTGTCAGTAATATATAAATGTATTCTTTAATTGAAAAATAAAACCAATAAACTAAATTATTCACAAACAATATCTATATTTTAAATAAGTGAAAAAAGAGTAAATTTAGACTCAATCAAAATATACGTAAAACCAAGTTTTTAATAAATTCAAATGTTTTAAAATGCTTAAACATATTATATAAGCTATAAATATTATCAATTTATCTCTGATATTGAATGTTCTAAATCCTTTAGAATTGGAATAATAAACTATTATAAGTTATAATCAATAATATTGGTATTTTGTTACCAATAAATAACAATATTTTATTGAATTATGATTTTAAATCACTTACTTTTAAGTACATATTTTTTTATTTTAAAAATCTGATGCTGTAAAATTAGTATACATTTATTATTATATTAAATTGGCAGAAGTTAAAAAATGATTCTCTAAGTACCTAAAATTACAAAAAAAAAAAAAAACATACACACTTGACCATTATATTTTGAAAACAAATATGAATATAATTCGTATTATATTATAAAACAAAATAAATACATTAAAAAATATACAAAATACATTTTTTAATAATTATGTATACATTAGCAATATTATATTTTTTTTAAATAAAAATATCGTAAGTATTCTACAGCTGCAAATTACCTAACATAAAGTATTTATGTATAAAAAAATAGCGAGAATATAAAAGAATCGTAAAAATATTTTAGCACTTTTATTCTATTTATATGATTTAAAAACTTTTTACTTTAAAAATATCAAATATATTAAATGTGAGTTATATGAAAATGCATTACTTGTGGGCTGTGAATTCAACTTAATTCTGGTTTTGAGATGTTCATAAAAGAAGATACAAGTATAGGTGTATTATATATATTTGTTCTTATTTAATATTACAATAAAATAAATTATAAGCTTACTCTAGTATTTAAACATTATAATCCAATTTATTGATTTTGACTATGGGCTTTATCACAAAAATTAAGATAATTTTATTATAATAGACGATGTTATTTTTAAATGGTTATTGATTAAATAATAACACATTTATGAATAATCTTATATTTTATAAAAACTAAATAAATATATTTAATTTAAATTAAATACAAAAGTGATGGTTATATTATATTTTATTACATAAATATTTTAAGTAGTAAAATAAAACTGTTTAATTTGTTTTTATATTTATATTAAGTTATATTATAATGATAAGGTGCTTAAATTAGTACATTTTAATTATTCTTTTAAACTAAAAAAAAAACCTTAAGATATTTTAGAGTTTTAAACTTTCACGCAAGATGTTTTTTTTTCGTACTTCTGCTTCATAAAGGAAAATACAATTATAAATATATTTAATTTTCAGATTATTAACTGATCTAACCTTAGATAAAATAAATTAAATAATTTACCATTTTAAATGTGACAAAATATTTAATGAATAATGTTATTTTAATTCAAGTTGAATATATATCTCAGAGTCATTATAAAATGAGATTTTATCTCACTGAACACTTAGCAACATAATATAAAACAACTAATTTCTGTTGTCATCGTTTATTTTATTTCAACATAATGTAATATATAAGTAAATTATTATTAGACAATTGTCATTAAAATATTTTAGTTTGTTTTTTTTGTATTCGTTAAAAATATTGTTTTCTCTAGTATTAGTTTTATTGTGGAGGGAAGGATGAAATGCTGTATTACTGTTGTTTAAGAATATGATCAATCATATTTTTTAAAGAAGATATAGCTTAGCTATATTTCTTATTAAAAACTTAAAATGTTATGTATTTATTGAAAAATATAAGATAATGAAAAAACTTATGCGACCGTGAGTATTATTGGAAAGAAAAAAAATAACAACTCAAAAAACTAAATCCCTATTAGGATCATACATTCTATCGTTTTTATATAGTTTAATTTGTTTGAAAAAAAAATTTAATTTAAATAAAGTTCCATTTATAATTTCACGTACGAAGACCCTTCTGACAATCATTTTGACAATATACCAAGTAGGACAACATACCTTTTGCAGCTAGTATATGATGTATATACAAACGAATTATATTATGTATAATGGTCACATTTAATTTCCATTGGTATAACAATCTGGACCTACATTACGGTCAGTGATCGTAAATAGATCCAGCAGGTAGACCATTTAAGATGTTTATTCAGGTCACACGTCATCCGGGTAAAACCAATATCCCTTAGCCAAATTCGTTATCTCGACAGTGGAAAAACGAATTGCCCAGTTTTTTTTTTATATAACATATACCTACACATCTGGTATAGTTATTTTTTCTTGGTTGTCCAGATTTCGGAGTAATACGTATATATATATTCATAAATATATATATGCGCATAAATACAGAGTGATTCAGTAAGTATAATAACCACCCTACCTATTGTCATATATCTCTAAATTAAGTAATAGATAATAAAAACAATTTATAATTTTTGAGTGTACTAATAATTATTTCTAATTTAATCTAACACAATATATCGTGATTGAAATTATAGTTTGTAGGAATCTAGATGATTATGTTAAATAATTTTGAAATAACAAGTTAATGTACATTGAAATTTCCTAATAAATCATTGAATTATAAATGTTCAAAAAGTATAATAATGGTTCTAGTTTTAAAAAGTAATTGTATAGTTACTTCATAAATTTTATAAGAAATATGAAATTATTAAGACAATATATGACGTTAAAATATGTTTAAGATTTTCAAATACAAGATTATTTGAATAAATGCATGATTTCAAGATAAAATAGAGTGATCATGCAAAAGAATTATCCTGTATAATATGTTCATAATATACACATATAACGATAACGTAAGAATGTATGTGCATTTTGTGGCCGAAATTGAATCGCGACAAAAAATATAACGGTCGCAGTGATGAGGGAGGAGAGGTAAAGTTGGAATAAAATACGGAAATCCGGAAGAGTCGCTTTGCAATTGTTGTAGTGTAGATAGGGAATAGAAAATAAGAGCGAAAAAAAACCTATAAGGTGACTGTTATTCAGGTCTTGTCCCGACGCAACAATCTTTTCACAGTGACATTATTATTTTCTTTTTCACTTCCCTTCCCTCCCATCGCCCCATAATTTTTTTCTCCCTCTTTTTACCTCTTTAAGGTCGACAGCAGTGACTGTCGTTAAGACGTATATAGTGGAAAATTGAATTCGGATGTGTCTTTTTCCTCAGTATCCGATAGAGAGACTTCCTTCACACTAAAAATCGTAAATTTTTATGATGTAAAAACGTCACAGGCACGAGAATAAGCCTATGTTTTTCTTTTTTTTTCAGAATCTATTACATATGCGTCGTGGGACTTGAACATCGATCAGACTAACTGGTACTGCAGAATAACCGGTAAATATGAAATACGTGCTTTTCATTCATCTTTCCCAAATACACATACACACAAATACACCGAGACTCTATATTCATTTTTTTTTTTTTTTTTTTTGATTAATTATTTCAAATATTTTTCGAAATTCCTAAACGTGTCAGTAATTTTTTAGTGAAGTTATAATTTTTTATTAAATTTTAAAATTATGTTCAGCACTAAAAGTCTTGAATTATATTAAAAAGATCATTACAAAATATGTATTACAATTAGAACACTTTTTAATAATAGTTTATTATATTATGTTAAATAATTACCCAGTTAATGATGAAATTAAAATATCCAGCGAAAAATGAATACAATATTGTATTTTATCATCGTATTTTAATACTCATATTAAATATTATTGTTTACTGTAAAAAAAAAAAATACATAACTTGTACAGTTCAATTTTTGACGTACAACCTTTGTTGAACCTTGCTAGGTTTCGTTTCAAACCATATAATAACTCAACAATGACTTGGGCCAATCTATATACAAATATAAATCAACAATGAATTTTTATTTATGCTGTAGTTTATGATCAATTAAACTAAAAATATTCATAAGCAATATTTTAATGATTTATTTTTATACTATTCAACTGCTGACTACAAAATGTTTATGATTAATTATTTTCTCTGTGTCATTAAATATTAATGCCCAGATATATTATTTACTACTATACCTACATTTCGTATACGTAATATGCTGTATTATACATTGAAAATGTTTTTAAACTGTCTAATAAATCATCAATCACATTACGAAAAATTATATTTTTAAGCTACCTATTGGTTTTAAACAATACATAATATCAAATGTATAAAAACAAGTATGAAAATATTTTTAAATCATCTATTTGAGCGGCTATTTATTTATTGATTTGATTACATTGCTTGTATACTTAGAAGTCAAACAATAATTTAAAATTTTTATGCCATTTCAAGTATATGAAAATAAATACAATGTATTTACCATTATAATATAAATTTATTAAAATATAATAAACAATGAATTAACTAATAATTAATTAAACAATTATTTGTCTTTTGGTAGATAAATGTTGGGTTTATATTACTAAGTATTATTATGTTTGATGTTTATATTATATTTTTATTTTTTACCTGTTGTGAAAACTAATAATAAATGAATAATTATATGGTTTTTTTTATTTCTGCAAAAATTATATTTATTAGTCTTAGTTTTATTAGTAAATTATGAAAAATAATATTGTACATTAAATTACATTAGGATAAAATAAAACAAACTTTATTCCTTTTAGTATTAAGATTATAAATCTATTTCTATACTTTACTTTTTAACATTTATACAAATATGACAGGGAAATTTTATGAGTTTTTTTTTTGTTTCTATAATTTAGTTAAAGTTAAAACTGTCTACATTTGCATCATATAATATTGATAAGGTGTTTAAATTTCTTTAAAATAACCTAACTGCTAGTTTTTAATAGTTTGTTTACTTTAAAATATCATCATGCAAAAATAATGTAGTTTTTTAATAAATTAATATAAAATCTATTAATCTATTATTTTTGTAAATGTTATAAAAAAAAAACTGAATAATACAATTCTGATATAATAGAACATAATATACATAATTAAATGGCGTATCTTACTATAAAAATAAATATCAATAACTTAAATTTATTTTTATTTTTTATTTTATTTTTATAACATAAAGAAGATTAAAGAATTATATAAAAAATAATTTCATCAATAATAAACCATCGAAAAAACTTAACATTCATTTAAAGTTTGATGCACAACTTAAGTGAATTTTTATGTTAAATTATGTAAAAAGTATTTACTTTCTTGGTAGAATAATTTTAGAATAATTCATATGAATTCAGTACAATATTTGTAAAATAGGTGTATTGTATTGTATAAAATCAAATAGTCAATTTATTTAATATACCTATATAATACGCTCACTTAAATATACAATGTACCATTCGAATTTTTAAAATTAAATAGTCTCTATTTTGTGGATACATTAACAAACAGGAAATTGATAAAAATAAACCAAACAACTTTTTTTTTTTGTATATCAAAAAATATTAAGTTGTAATATACTTAATATAAATCATGTTTATACTTCTCTCTTTTAATTTTTAATTTTTATTAATATTAATGCTTTTTATATATCTGTGAGTATGTAGTGAATGTCAATAATGGTTATTGATACGGCACACGTTGTCTGTCGATCATAAATAAAAGTTCAACACTGTATTATGTTGTGAATATTCGTTGTATATATTCTATTGATACATTTATATATATATATATGTATAAATATATACAATTGTATAGGGATTGGGGATTGAGGTTGGGCGGTCGGTTCGCCTTCGGGCCCCTTACAATAATGGACTGTTGTATTGTGTCTAACGGATATACATGGGGTGGGTTCGAGTTCAGTCACGTCGCGCCCGTTCAAACAAGTGGCGTTCGATCGTGGAATTCGACAGGACTAAAAAGGCTCGATGGTGAGGGGGGGGGGGGAGTCAAAGGAGTTTGCCCTAGGAAGAGCAATTTTACTAAAACGCTATTGAACGATTGGTCGATGCGTCGGGTAGATCGTCGCCGAACGGCGTTATCGTACAGTGTCCGGTCCGTCGATCGGTGCGGCGTTTGAATCGCCGTATCGCGGCAGCGTCGATGCGTCGGATGAATAGTTGTAGAACGGTAATTCCTTGCTTTGGTCTTGGATTCTTTCTGACTGCCTTGAACTGTTTTTATGTTACTAGACAGATGAATGAATGGGAGTGAACTAAATATAGTGTCAGTGCACCGGTATATATATATACCAGTCGGGCTATCTATACCGGTGCTGATTGGTCGATTTCGGTTAATATGTCAGATAAAAACTTCACTGTTGTCCAGTTGTTTCTCCTTGGTCGGTGTACTTTTTATCTGTAATAATACTGAGCTAAGCTTGTTGTCTTTTTCGAACCAATCTACTATGTTATAAGTTTTGTCTTCATTTATTATGTTAGTCTTGAGAAAGACCTTTTGGTGTTGGTATTTGTTCCGTAACATTATCTACTCTTATTTTAAAATTATATCCAAATATACCTATTATTAGTAACCATTAAATATTTGTGATTTATTATTTAGTAATGTTCCTCAAATAATTAAGGTAAAACATATTTTAAATAAATATTAAATAATATTTTATTTGTTTTTTTAAATTAAATACAGAACAAGAGAATAAATATTTAATTTTTTTTTTAATTTTAACTTAGGTATTTTTTTTCTGATCACTATTTAGAGTTTTTTTTTTAGTCTTTCAAACTTTTCAAATTTTTCAAGTAGTCTTTATCATCGCTTGAAAATCAAGCGTAGTCGGCACTTTGCTAAAGTAAATTTCTCAGATATTGTACTTGATTTAATGATAAACGTAAAGAATGGTTGAAGATATCTCATCTAATTTATTTGTTATATATATATACATACATAAACTACATAATCATTAGATATTGATAAATTCTATGTCATTATTATTTAACACGTAAAATATAATGTCTTTAAATTCATACTGATGTTTCTTATTATAATATCGCATTCATTGTAGATGCATTGTTCTTTTCCCAACAAAATAATCTTAGATTATTATCAGAACTACTGAAATAAATGCGTTATTTGTAGATGTATCCAAAACTTATAATATTTAAGTAATATGATGTGTTTGCTACTCTACACAAATCAAAAATATTCCTCGATTTTCTGTAGCAGTCCTAATGGCTTGCATTGCAATATGATTACGTACATTATAGACATTGTAGTATGTATAAACATTATTTTACCTACTGTACGTATCTAGAGGTTTTCTAAGAGGTTTTTATCTTATTTCAGTGGAAAATGGAAACTTTTAAATAACTACTATACTAAAAAAGTACAATACACATATTTTATATATTATATACTGTAAAATGTATACGTACACTGCACACAAAATGTAATATCACTCTTAAGTCTTGACGTAATGTGTGTTTGTCATCGTTTACAAACTGTTAATATAATGTTTATTTTTTTCAGAACTACAATTTATTTTCATATTGAATTTGTGGTAGATAGTTTTTAAAACTATTTCTCTAGTAGTAATAATAATAAACAAAAAAAAAAAAAAAATTTCATGAACTATTAATATTCACTTTTTTATTTATATAACTGATATTCCAAATTTTTAATAGTGTTGTTAGCAAACACTGACATTATGGTAGTTTTAATAATAGGTTTAATTAAGTGTTTTTTTTTTTTTTTTTTTTTTATGTAACTCAAAAATGAATAACCGTAGATACTTTTCATCAAATATGTATATTATTATTTTATTTACGATTGAATTTTAAATATATTTTGATTATTTTTGAGCAATTAAAAACATCAGAAAATTTTTATTTTTTTTTAGATTAAAAATTATTTTCTGGATAGACGTGCTTGAAAATATAATTTAAAGCTCTTCATATGTCCTTAATGTCTCGATCAAAAAACTAAAACAATTTATAGTTAAAACATTATTTTATAAACGTTTTAAGTTAGACTATTGACATAACTTATAAAAATCGAGAAAATAAGTCAATCATTTTGTAGTGAAAAATGTATTAAATATATATTTTTTATATCTAAAATTTGAAAAAAATAATACAAAATTCTTAATTTTTTTTAATCTAAGTATAAAAAACTATTTGTTTCAAGGATTGGTGTTAATTATTTTGTTTTAATTTAAAAGCATTATTCCTTAAAACTAAAAATTTTTACGTGTATTATATTATTATGCATTTTCTACATGCAATAACGCTGTTTCTTTATTTTAAGATGATATTATTTATTTATAGTAAGAATTTTTTTTTTATTATTTTACAACAATCACAAAAAAATATATAACATTTTGAGTTTTTTAAGTCTATATTATTATATGGTATAAATTTATATTATTATAATAAAATACTAATAATATAATAAAT